AGTTTGCGAGCAAATTTTTTCCCCATAAAATGTTTATTTGAACACAGAAGAAAGTGTGCAATTAAAAAAAAAGAGAAAAAAAATTAAACTCAAATTTGTAATTTTTCCATCGAAAAACAGATATCATAAAAATTTCCTAAATGAAATTGTATGAAAAGCATTTTTTTCATTCAAAAAAAAGAATTAAAAAAAAACATTAGATTTTATAAAAGCTCTCATGTGACAAAAATTGCCACAAAATGGTACTGTTTGATTTTAAACCAAATTAAGATAGTTTTCGAAAAATAACCCGTATCATATACAATTTTTTTCTATGATAATCGTCACTAAGCGTTTTCTTACAGAACCAGTATAAGAAAATGAATGATACGCACTTTTCTGGTATAGACGTCAACAAGAGTTATACATTACATACCAGGGTCATATCAACTGACAACTCTAGTCTGATTAGCTCGTAAAAATCCGAACAAAGTTCCAATTTGTTTCCAGGAATCACCGAGCGCCGTGGCACTTGCAATGAAGAAGGCAAGAAGAAAATTGTGAAGGTCTCCCACCACGTTCAACTGCCCCGAGGAAACGAGAATCTACTCAAGGAATGAAGACGCGTCTTTTGTTGTTTTCTCATTTAAAAATAGAAAAAAAAACTTGAAAAAAATAGGTTTAAACATTGGATTTCTAATAAATAATGTTTGCTTCATTTTTTCAAAGAAAATGCAGATGTCACCATAGATGCTTTCATAGAAATCCTTTATGACGACATACTAAACATTAGAAATAAATGAAGCAAAATTTTTTGACATAATTCGAAGATGTTTCCAATATAAAAAAATATCAAACTATTCACGGATAATGTGTTAGTTGATCGGTTTCATTCGTGGGCAATTTTCTATGCCTTCTATGGAACCATATATGGTGCGATGAGTGATTGCAAATTTTAGTCAACCCGAGTGTTCTTTTAGTGGGTTGTTTGAGATAACACCAAAAGGATTTTAAGAAATACAACGCAATTAGAAGTAAAGTGTGCAAGGTATATTCTTTTATTGTTGCTTTTATCTTCAATTTTTTCTCTTCATTTTTTTCTGTACTGCCGCTTAACTTCATCTTCAAGTTTTTTCTCAAACTATTCAGAAAAAAAGGCAAACAACAAAAGAAACATTAGGAAACTGTGGCGACTGTTGGACCCTGCTCCATTGCCATCGACGCAAGTCACTCTAGCTTCCAACTGTACAAGGACGGAATATACGACCCCGCTGCATGCAGTCAATACTCACTCGATCACGCTGTTCTAGTAGTCGGCTACGGAGGCTCCGGCAACGAAGGTGAAATATTAGAATAGGGTGGCATTAATTATACATTTCTTGAAAAAAAAACATTACAAGGATATTTTATTAGGGACGAAATGGACCAATAGTAGACCCAAAAAATTACCACGTTTGTTGAGGCGCCTAGCTTTTAGGTAATTTTTTGTTTTGACTTCTAGGTTTCCTTTTGATCTGAATATCACCAACAAAAAGATTCAATTTCTTTGATCGGTCAAATACAAAAAAAAGCATCATTTTTGAAATATTTTGAAGAACACAGATCTCAATTTAATTCACATGGTTTTTATCTATCAAAAAAATGAAACGAAAACCATCACTACGTTAAGTGCAAAAAAATTAATTTTGCCACCTATTGTAATAATTTCTAAAAAACAGAATTCTGGTGGGTCAAAAACAGCTGGGGTAAAAGTTGGGGGCTGAAGGGCTACATCAAGATGGCGAGAAACAAGAACAACAAATGTGGGGTGGCCAGTGAAGCTATTTACCCCGTTGTTGCCTAAACAGGGACCGATTCAAACAGTATTGGAATTCAGAGAGTTAAGAAGCAGTGATGATAAACACTTTACTGATTGATTAAAATCGAAATATGACTGAAAATTTCAGTGTGACTTGATGATCATTTAAAGATAATAAAGGTTTCATAATAAATTTTATATCTTCGAAGCAACGAAAGTTATTTGAATTTAAAATTGATTTTTTTTATGATTAAATTTACTTTTTCAAGTGCATTAAACTCTCTGTACGTAAAGCCCTTCAAGGAATCGCCCAACCAAGGCAGAACTTAACAAATTCGATTGAGGAGAAATCGCAGTCCAAAATCATCACTTATCGAGTGTAATTGCGCAAATTATCTGGAACAAATATTACTTGGCCAAGCTCTACTTTTTGTGAATTGTAAGCAAATTCCGCAACAGGCCAAAATCAGATCACTGCGAATTTTCTTTGATCTTCTTTGCGGTTTTGGGTTCCACAAACAAATAGCTAAAACACTGTACTGTTCAAAATTGCTCCCAAGTCACAAGGTTTTTACCTGATTTTTTTGATAAAGCGTTTAACTCAGAAACTTTTGGGGGATAGTAAGCTAAATTTCCCGAAAAATCAGTTCCACCTCGGGCTCACTAAAAAAAAACTTTGTTAAAAAGCTTCAGAGGTAGTTTCAAAATCACTATATATTTATATTGATGGACTTAATTTTTTTTTCGGTACAGTTTATCAAAACAACGATTTCTTAAACGAAAACATTATACACTTTGATCACTATGAGGCCGTTAATTTGAACCAGGCGATTTTGCGAGGGCTTCATCAAAATCACGCAAAACGACATTTTATCTGACACTTTCTCGTGGCTTTGACAAAAAATTGAAACTTGTAGCAAACCATTAGCCAAAACGTGATTGATAATGAAAAACACGAGATGTCATTTGTCGCACACATTCAATGAATGAATACAAATTATCGAGAAATCAAAATTTGTAAACACAAATTGTCTTCGCTTGCTTAAATAGCTTTTCAATTAGTACTGTATGACTCCTCTAAAACCAATTAATTCTCATTTGTTTACAAAAACTAGCGTTCTATTGTGTCAAACGTTTTTGCCAAGTCAAGCATTTGTCAAATTGTTCTTATCCACAATGTGGAAAAACTACTAAAATCAACAGAAGCAGGAAACAGTCTCATTTTATTTAAAAAAATTGTATGAAGTTCCTGTTCAAAAATTTGTTATTTCAAAAACACTTCACCAAAAAAAGATCAACTGAATCAATGTAAATATATAGTTTTTTTCAATTCTCATGGTTGACCAAAATAATTTTTTTATCGAAGTGTTGTTGGAAAGCTGGTATACTTCACAACGGTTTTTCTGTCATCTTGAGAAAATTAGGGTTACAGGAAAATACAGACACAAAACAGTCTACCTATCCAGTGCACACTTTGGCCTCGTAATGAAGTTGCGGTTTCTTTTTATGAATCTAAGTGACATTTTGTCTATTATGACAAATTACCGGAAAAAGATATAGCTGATTGAGTTCGGATAGTCTAAGCAATTCAAAGGCGACTTTTTATGAGTTGGATTAAAAGTTTCCCTGAAAATAAAAGTTTGTTTCAATGTTTTTGTCAAAAAACGTTCGCATATTATGATCAGGTTTGCGTTGAAAAAGCGATAGTTAAAATAGTTCAAGTTTGCATCAAAAACAAAAAGGTTAAAATTTTTTTGGTGAACCTCCTTCAGCCAAGGTTTCAAAAAAACTTGAAAGAGAAATTTATGTATATTCTAATTAAGGACAGTAGTCATAAGGTTTTTCACTTATCTTTTTTGATAAAACGTTCAACTGAGAATTTTTTGGGGGATAGTAAGCTAAATTTCCCGAAAATTCACTTGCACCTTTGGTTTACTAAAAAATATCCTCGAGACCACAGTTTGTTATAGAAACTTTCGAGGGAGTTTCTGATATTTGCAAAAATACCACAATTTTATATTCTTTCACTTAAATTGTTTTTGGTAAACTTTTTTTTTCAAAACAATGGTTTCTTTAATGCAAACTTAAAATTTTTTGATCACTGTGAGGCCGTTAATTTGAACTATTGTGCCGATTTTGCAAGGGTTTTAGCAAAAATTTGCAAAACAAATTTTTCATCTGATTTTTTTTCATGGCATTGGCGAAAAATTCAATTTTGTAGCCAACCATTAGACAAAGAGTAAACAATAAAAAGAAACAGAAGTTTTTTGTCGGAGATCTTCAAGGAAATGATAACGGTCGGGATTTAAATATTTGTAAACACAAGTTGCCATCAATTGCTTAAATAGTTTTTCAATTGGTACTGAATGACTCCCCTAATACCAAAAACTAGCGTTCTACTGCGTCAAATGATTTTGTCAAGTCAAGCTTTATTCAAATTGTTCATATCCACAAAATGGAAAAAAAAATTACTAAAATCAACAGAAGCATGAGTGCATTTCATTCCTGCTTGCTTGTAACTTTTTTGCAATAGAAAAGTATGCAATATTAAATAAGCCTCAAATGTTAGATATAGAAAGGAGGTAAGCTCGTGAGTTTGTCACATGAGAGGGTACTCGATATGCTGCCAGTTTTTTCAATTTCAAAGGTCTGAACAAATACTTTTTATCCCAGCAGTCTACCCAATAGTTCTTAATGGCTGAATGAGTTTGATGAATTCTTTGCAAAAACAGCACACTGGCTCAAACCTAATTATCTCGCTTAAATAGAAAAAGTGTATGAAGATCCTGTTCAAAAATTCGTTATTTCAAAACACTTCACTAAAAAAAAAAGATTATATGAATTAATGTAAATATATACTTTTTTGCAATTCTCATGGATGGACCCAAATACTTTTTTTATCGAAGTGTTGTTGGCAAGCTCGTTTTTTTTAAGCAACGGTTTTTCTGAAATCTTGGGAAAATTAGTCTACTTTCTCACTGGTTGTACCAAAGTGCTGGGAAGGTTACTTTACTAGCTCGATTGTTTTTCTTGATCCTTGTTAAGGTTAATTCACCTACCCAGAAACTAAAAAAATTTAAACAGGTTAGCTAGCTATCGCGCGATGATTTTGTACAGTCGTGGAAACATAAAAAATTTTTCATTGAAAGTGTTGTGAAGTTTTTTGCAAGCTTATTTTTTCCACACTTACTTTTTCATCCCAGGGTTTTTTAAAGAGTTAATGAGGCGACAAGTAAATCACAAGTAAGCGATTATAGTGTCTTGGGAAGCAAACCCAGTGGTAGCCTGAAAGGCAAACTCTATTTTTGTAAAATACTTGAGTATAAGGTTCTCAACAAAAAGGAGTCAGAAAACGAAGTCCAGAACCAACATTGAGCAAGTTTATTTGAATATGAAACTGATGCAAAAATTTGATAAGAATTTACAGAAATGTTGATAAAAAGCGCTCATGAAAACATAATTAAGAACAAAACAGAACTTTGGTTTTTATACCAAACTCGTAGAGATGACTTAAAATACAATTAGTTCGTTTTTATCAAGCCTATGCTAATTCAGTTGCAGATGCGGGTTAGTAATTAATACAAAGTTTTTGATAAATATTCAAAGCAAAAAGAATTGATTAACAAGATTTCACAATTTACTACAGAATTGCAATTCTAACTGGCGGATTATCAATGTTAACTATGGATACTCAACAATTTGAATTGCGAAAATTGGTAAAGTTAGTTTCAATCCGTTTCTATCAAACATTACGAAGCCAAACGGTGTATTTTTGGAAGTATAGGCGGATTCCGCAACAAGGATGCTCTCTTTTGTTCTTTCATTCTCTTTGATTGTACCGACAAAATTTTAACATTTATAAAGACTTGTCTCTCGAATCCAGGAACATAAAGACACAAAATTGTGCGCATATCGAGTGCACAGTTTTGGTCTCGTAATGTACAGAATTTTCTAAGGGGAGAGTATTCTTTAAACAATTTTTCAAAAAGAAGCCTGCAAACTCGATTGTAGTGAATGTATTTGAAACTGGAGCTCATTTTCGTAACGACGTACAGACTGGTAAAAAGGCATAAAAACTTTCATATTTTCTTAAATATACAAAATATCAGCCGCCTTGAAATCTGGGCACTCTGGCAAAGGAAAGGTCTCCATTGCAAATGACTCCTGAAGCGATTCTCAGCCCTTTGTAGTGGTTCGACACTCCATAAAGACTTTTCGGTGTAAGAGGTACGTAATGAAACGTAACTAGTGGGATGCCACATCCAAATGACAAAAACTTGCGTCTTAGTTTGGTTGTATTTTAAATAGAAGAATCTGTAGATCAAATATCTATATAAACATATTCCTTATATTTATGGTTTTCATATAAAGTTTCAAAATTAAAAATGAAAAAAAAACGGAAGTATAAAATTTCGCGAGACAGAATTGCATTGTTTAGAAAAATCATGTTTTTTTTAGAAAAAAAATATGTTTTCTTAATAAAAATGACCTTTTTGATAAAACAGAAGCATTTAGCTATTACAACTTAAAAAGCACTCCTTTAAAATTTATAGGATCTCTTAACAAAAACAAACAATTTAGAAATTATAGAGTGCAGCTTAAATGTTTAATAATAAGGAAGATAGTCGAAAAAAAAATAAATATCGATATTGAAAAAAAAATGTTTGAACAAGTCAGTGGCAAAGGTAAAAATCTTAATTAGTGATTGAAACTAATTCTATCGCCTTGGGATGTTTTGTATGATTTTCATTTGTTTTCTTAAGGCTTGAGACAATAATTGAATGTTTTTAGGTTCTAAACCAACAGGTTTCCAGATTTACGAATTGGTCCGAAACCAACAGCAGTTTGTGTAACTTCATCGTTTTTGTGGCTCAAACTGGTTTTTTTTTGTTTCAACTGAATTAAGAGCTCGCCAATGTTTTGGGGGTCAAATTACCTTCAGTAGATCCAGTTATAACATACTTAACCCAACACCTTCTAATGAAATACGTTGGTTTTCAAGATCCAAATACAATAAGCTGATCCATATATGCTCTGGGGATTACTGTTCTAGTTAATATCCTCTGGAAAATGCAGAAACGAAAAAATCTTTTGCTCTACAATATTGATTAAAAACACTCATCTCTGGGTGTAAATTAACTCATTTTGAAATAATAAACAAGACTGCTCGTTTCGTTGCGATGCCTTGAATGTTCCGACTGCCTTTTAGGGTCTAGGGAGCCGTAATAACAAA